CTTCTTCTTCTTCTTCTTCTTCTGCATCATCACGAGTTGCGACCCTGCCGGCAAATGCATCCGTCAAAGCAAGCTCGATTTTATGAGCCATGCAGTGTATCCAAATTACAGGTGAAGATGGAACTGTGTCTACGGCATCTTGTGTATCCCCGCGACTTAGCAGATCGTCTTTACGCTTCTCGAAACATTCGCGTTGAGTATACCCCGTAGTCCCCTTCCAGGAGCATTCATATTAGCTGCGCCATCAGTGGCTACTGCTACAAGATTCCACGTGAGCTCATGCAACAAATCTTCTCTTTTGAAATACTCGTAAATCTTTTCAAAGATGTTCCTTCCAGTCTCGGATTCAGTCATTTCCAATGCTTCCAGGAAATGCGTTGTAGGATGCAGTGAGTAGCGATCAGGAAAACGAATAAAAACAAGAAGAACTTGTTTGCTGCCAGGATCCGTTGACGAGTCAATCAGTAAAGAGAATGGAGCCTGATTTGTCTTTATATACTGGATCAGTTTTGCTTTCATGGTTTTACTAATATAATCAGTCATCTTGACGAAGCCATCACGAGTATGCTGCATATTGCCTATATCAGCCCCCATTGCAGACACCGCTGCGCAGAGTGTCGGGAATTGGTAGGGGGAAGATACATTTTTGCCGCTGCGTACGCCAGCATAAAGAGACGACTGCCGGCTGCACCAGGATTTGTAGGAGCCTGGTCCACGGTCTCAAGATAACTGTTGACTATCGGAAGGGTCCTCTCTGTGTGGGCTTTCACGGCGTTATCATGGATAGTGGTTTGAGCTCGCAAATGATTTGCCATCATCTTGATCACGTTGTCTGTAAAGTCGGCTCCCCTTTCGGTTGCTATAGGATATGGTGCTGATCCAGCCGATGCCGATTTGTAATGCTCCTAGCAAGGCTCACAATGGACGCGCAAAACTCTTTTTCCGTTGGTTCACTCTTTAGGAAAAAGCGGCTTAAAATACTTGTACTTCTCCGCCGTAAGCTGTTGCAAAAGCCTTTTTGTTCTGTATTCATTTGGATTAGGAAAGTTTCCTGAGTTGAGCAGCATATCGAGATCGTGAGTCATGAAGTTGCATCTTTTCTTCGATACGTAATCAAGCATAGCTTCTCTTGCCCTGCTTTTAGCTTCCGTGGTCTGAGCTACTTGCATGCTCCTTGCCTGCTCATAAAGGAAGTTAATTTTGGTCATCACTTCGTTTTTTTCTTCGTACGAAAAGGCCCAGGACTGGGGCATTGAAAAAGCTTCCAGCGGTTGTACAACGCCCCGGGCTGCCTCGCCGGCAGGGACTGTGCCTCGCTCTCGCTCCCTTAGTCTCTCACTCCTTCGCGGAACTGCCATCTGGCGACTTCCCCCTGCTGTCGATGCCTCTTCTGCTTCACCACTGTCATCACCAACATCCATCACTTCCTCTTCTTGGCGTTCAAATGATCTTTCTAGAGGCAGTTCTTCCTCATCGCGGCCTTCTTCCTCTCCTTGGCGTTCAAATGATCTTTCTAGAGCTTCCTCTTCTTCTCTTCTCCGTCCAACCAGCTCTGGGTATAGGTATTCAGCAAGCCTAGGGAAGTATAGCGCACGATCATCAAAGACACGTAGATAACTTTGTGCTGAACAGTCATTGTCTTCTCCGGGAGTATGTCGAGAGAACTTCCTGTAGGTGGAAGTATGTGTTCTTGTGTATGACAAGTCTTCGGGTTCGGGAATGCAAAGGAAAATCGATCTTCCTCTAGGCAGGTCACGCGTATTTGCATCCATGTCTATTGCAACGATGCTGGGTTGGATGCCGTACCTGGCAAAAGCGGTGAACATGCGTTCGATGAACTCGTTGTGTTTTGTGACTCGGGTATTTCTATTGACCACCACTACATCTACAGCATACTCAAACATTATCCTCCAGTGGTCTCGACGTTAAGGTACTTGTTTCCTTCCTCAAGTCTAATTCTCCTTCCTCCTACAGTCTTCGCATAGGATGCGTCTTTTGCAAGTTCTGCATTCTTAAATAGTCCTCTCTAGCACTAGCAGGTGGGTTTTCCACGAGCACAAACACGACTGGGTAATCAGCAACGTGAGCAATTCTCAGAGCGCGGTTTTGCTCCATTACTCTCCCGGGCTGGAAGTCTTCCATTGCGAAGGCTTCTTTGCTAATGCAATTGACCAAGGCGTTCCCCTTGCTATGAGTGAACGCGATGTCAAATGGTCGTCTAGACCTACTAGCCTCACTTCTGTTTCCTATGACAAAATGTCGGCTATTTGTCCTCATCTTGTTTTGATGTAATTTGCCATAAAACAGAGATCCTAGAAGCGCGGCAGAACTAGGTCGCGTATCCAACACTATGACCGTGTACTTGCTGATTACCAAACTTTTTACGTTTTGACACTGCCTGGGTGGAAAGTCGAGTTCCAAAAATTCATCAAACTCGTTACGGTTATCCTGAGCATCAATACCAAGATAAAGAGTTGAGATTTCCGAAAAACGGGGCTTGCAAAGCTTTTTGCCAACAGAAAATATGGAAGATAATGGAATTTCCGTGGAGCTTTCGGCATCAGATTCTTCAGAAGGAGATCGATCAGCAGAGCAGAGAGCAAGAATGGTAAGAAGCACCAAAACCGCATATGGGAGCCAATACATGCCACGTGTAAGCGTTCGGGTAGGAAATGACGACCAAACGAGGATGCCAACGCACCTATATAGCAAACAATGTCTCTCGTAAGGCTGCCAAGAGGTCACGCAGACCTCCGCTTATTGTTTACCATGATGCACCATCTGCGCAGACAATAGCGAGACAAGAAAGATCGATAGCCTCATCTGCCAGAGTAGTAACAGCTCATCACATCAGAGTAAATAGCTGCACTTCACTTCCTACAAAAATCACTGAACAATCATAGAGCACACTATTACAATAGTTCGAATACTGCATGTAAAATCTGGATTTTAGGTTCAACGAAAAAAGCGAGTTAAGAACTAATGAATCATGAATCAATCAATTTGAACCTGAGTTTAGAACTTCCATTTTGAGGTCTACAGAATTATGCATAAATTGAATGGACAGCTGCCACAGCAAGCCCATGCACTTTCTGAGGTGCCGAGCTATACCCCCCCCCTCCATGTCAAAAATCAGCATATCTCGGCAGGGGGGCAACCTCACGATCTATTTTTTTTTATCTTGTAGAGGAGAGCGTATTTGATATAA